ATAAAATCACGAACGCGCTAAATTCGTTGCAACTGACACAATATAATTCTCTAATCACGAGGAAAAATAAATAAACACATAATAAATAAACAATATTCATAATGTTTGACTCCATACCGCGATTAACATTAATGAGATGTGAGGTCAGAAAATGAGAGCATGCCATCTGCTGTCAAATAGCACTTACCCAACAAAAAACCACGTCAGCATGGCTGTACACATTTAGGGAGAAGATAGAAAAGAAATGAAAAGAGAAGGGGCCCAAAATGTGTACTCACAGTTTTGAAGATGGAAGATTTTTTGAAGATCTTGTGTTTAGTGGTGAGCGGAAATTCTTCGGAGAAGCTTGGTTCGGTTGCTCGCCAAAAGGGCACAACTACCACCGCCTGCCACCAGAATGTAAAAGGTATGAAATGACCTTTATACATTGGTGACATTGGAATTTATAAGTTAAAATACACTATTTGATGCAGTGTTTTCTACTATATTTCAAATTTTACAGACTTCTGCTGAAATTTAACAGTAAAGGCAACACGTACAGCCCCAAAGATATAAAGTGATCCCCTTTTAATGTAAAGGGTATGAATTGACCTCTATACATTGGTGACAGGACAGTAAAAGCTTGGGTGGCTTTACACTCTTTATTCTGTAAGAGCTGAGCACACAGTTATGATAAACACAAACGAGACAGTCTTGGGTAGCGCGCGGTCAACGGGGAGGCCGGTTGTCAGCCCTGGCCTGAGCCGGACAGGCGCCCGACCTTACCCCAGCCAGCGGCAGGCACACTCTGACTACAGGGGTCATCCTTGGAGTATTTGTAGCAGCGGCCACCGGAAATAGCTGCATGAACCAGGTCACTGGCAACTGTTCGAAGCTTTTTCCACCCGGTATATTGCTCTTAACCCAATGGGCACAGGTGACAAGACTACAGTGCCATGCCCACTGTAATAAAAGTTATCTATTGTCTTTATGCACAGATGGCTCTACAAGTGCTTAGTCACCAAGCACTCTGGTATTAGTCTTACTTATCTCATCTGTTTACCCTCTTCCTTCATTTTTGAAAGCTTCACTTCTATTATTTTATTGTCCTTGATGTAATGAATATTTTATTATCAATTTAATAATCATAATATCCATTACAATTAATGCAATGAAATGTTGTACATAAGGCTATTGGCCCAGTGCTTGCTTCTCTTTTCTTTTACTCCTTTCTAATTCCTTTTCTTTGTTTTTTTTAAATGGTTAGTGAATAATGATATATTAATATATATATATTTCTATGTATATCATTAATCATATTACTCAACTAAAATAACTTAAAAGATAGATAAACCTATTTAGCAGCATTTAGTTTTAAAATAAATGTTGGAAGTACAAATGTGCATGCATGCATCTCCCCATACACATACTTTTATATAGAATTTAATGTCTGCTTGCGGGGAGGTTCATCAAGCAAACTGGTTCAAGTGCATGTAAAATAGTTAATAATTAATTCAAACGAATGTGCTAGACATCAAGGTCATATAGCACTGAAGTGGATGCAGCAAGGAAGAGAAAAAGCATGAGTAAGTGTGCACCATTTAATCCATTCAAATGGTGCACACAACTACCTACACAAACTGTAGCAGGTATGCAAACTTTGTTTCTTTAGTTTTTAAGTTTACCAAACCAACTACCATTCCCTCATTCCTCTGTTGCAGTTGGCTCGAAAGCTCCTGTTTCCTGTTTCAGTAATTCTCTTTCCCAATGAGTTCCCTATGAAGTATTCCTCGTCCTAATCTGGTTTCCAGTAAAATTTTGGGAAAGTTTGGGAAAATTACTTA